AAAAAATTATAGTAGGAATTCTCCTGATGAAGACAAAAGCGAATTTGCCGAGATACTTATGGGAATATACAAAAAATACGATCGAAATAAAAGTTAAAATCCTAAAAAACAAAACTAACTTTAAAACAAATTATACCTTTTATTCATTAAATAATATAAATAATTTTAAACTATTAGACCACTTCTGTTATATTGTGTAGTGTACTTATAGTTATAGTGTACTTCTGTTAAAAATATTATTAAATTTTCCAATTTGCTTTAGCGAATCGTAGAATAAAGATTATCATAACTTTTTTATAATAAGTTCCTAAATAAAGATCTGTAAACAAGAGAGAATCAGAACAATAAAAAAATCTCAAAAAAACAATAGTACTGAAACATAACAATTAATAAAACTATAATAAATTAATTAAATAAACTATAATATAATTAAATAATAAGTAAAACACATGTCAAGTACGTTTTTGATTAAGTTCGTTAGTAAGCACTGACTAATTAAATAGTCATTTAAATGAATTAAATAGGCTGCAAGTTGAAACCTAGTTTTTAGAGACTTAAAAGTTTTTTGCGAATAATTATATATTAAAAATATTTACAAACGAAAAATGACCACCGATGATGGGTACTTGGTAATAATTGAATCAGCTGTATGGCCAGCCAAAAATTCGATAAATTGTGACAAAATTCAGTTGCACTTTTATTGACGAACTAATAATAATTTGTCATAATTGACTTTTAAAATAAAATTACTGTTAAACCTTATTAATCACATCAAGCAGTAGTTACTCAGAAATAATAAAAATTTTTTTAATAGATGTTTTTTTATAATTTGGAAAAAATAACTAACAATAGTCATATATTGTTTAAAAATACTATATTTTTCAATCCAAAACTATTAATAATTAGTATTATTATGGTTTTTACTATAAAAGAAGGTGAGGGGAATTAATATAATTGAATGGTGAAATCAATATAATTTTGCAGGGGAATCGTTTTCGCTGCCACAAAGTTGAAAGTTGTATGAAATCAACAAAGAACCAAAAAACAAATAAAAATTATTTATATTTGTGAAAAATATATATATATATATATATATGTTGTATTATTTTAATTTTAAAATGATAAATAAATTAATATTATATATTATATAAAAAATAAGTACAAAAAATTTATATATATAAAAACACATAATAATTTTACAAAATATTGTGGTGAAATACAACATAAAGTAATAAATTTCACACATTGATTCCTCAAATCTGCTTAAGGCAGATTAAGGCTATTGTGTTTCTTCTGGCATCGATGTCACTATAAGCTACTGGGTACTTACGCTACTATATATATTATTATATTTCGATATTTCATCATTACGGGAAGTTATCTATATGCACTAAAAAATTTAATTATGGTAAGATTCATTACAGGTATCTTTGAGGTATATAGAGCTGTAGTAAACCGTGCAATGAATGCATCCTATTATAAATAAATTAAACCAACGAATTGTATCTTTTCTAAAACTTTTATAATTAATTTAAACCATATATATTATTTTAAAAATAATATGGTTCAATTGCACTTCAATTTCCTAATAAATTAGTTTAAGCACCCTATCTCTATTATCAATTTAATATTGAATTTGCCTCAGGAAGCAGGCTTGTTGTTTAAATTTAAATAACTTTTTTTATGTTTTATATTTATAAAAATATTAATATTATACGATAAACTTCTATTTTTTAATCTTTTATTAAAGTTACACTTAAAGGAGTTGCACGGTAACAACCCTGTTGTTGTTAAATGTATTTACCGGCATTAGCCCATTTGATGCTAACACGTATTGGCTTAAATCAATTGTTGATAATATTTTAACTTTCGAATCAATTAGTTTGTTTTTTATAACGGAAGAGAGTAAGTCACGTAAATGATTTTATTTTATTAAAATTGAAATTATAAAATAATTGTGGATGTGAATGTTTTACATAATTTCCTAACTGACTTGTTAGCATGTGTAGATAATAGAGCACTACCCTTTCCCCTCTAATATTGTTTAAAATAAAAAAAATTGACATTATCTATTTTAAATCCCAACTGTTTTAATAATACAATCATTTATATGTTTTCTTATCATTTTTAAAGAGTTGCACGTATATCGTTTTTGTTTTTCTACAAAATTTAGTGTGCGTGGCGTTTGAATAAAGTTGGTGTGTTTTATTTATTTTGGCTATATACATTGTATTATAAATAAGAAAAATTAACATATTTATAGTTATGATATTTACATTTATTTCAGTAAAATGGAATTAAGGAAAAGCATACCATTACTGCTACTTTTAGCAGTTAACGTTTTTGCTCTTGCGACAGAAGATGATGGTTATTGTCATTCATTTGCAGGTGGTTCAGTTTATCCAGCTGGAGCACCAAAAGGTGATCACAAATTACAAACTACAAAAGCAGTTAGTAAGTAAAATGCATTGACTCTTATTTATGCTACTTTTAGTTTAATGTAATATATTTTCTTATAGTTTCGAAACCCGCCCCACATTTTGAAGGCACAGCTGTGGTTAATAAAGAAATTGTACAATTATCGCTTTCACAATTTGCTGGCAAATACGTAGTGCTATTATTCTACCCACTTGATTTGTAAGGAAAATATACATTATGTATTTTTTTTCATTATATATTTTTATTTACTTCTTACTTTTCTAAAAAATTGTAATGGTCTGTTTAAATTAAGACTTCAAAGAGTTCAAACAACATATTGCTCGACTAGTGCGAGTACATATGTTTACTCGAATATGAACATGTGGATGAAACACACCAAATGTTCGGAAATTTGAGCTACTTGAACAGAATTTTATTTCGTTATGTATTTTGTATAAACACGCATTACAGTAATTGTTTCAATTTACATATATATAACATATTCAAACGGTTCCAAAGTAAATGCTGAATGGTTAAAGCTTTTAACAATTCGAGTTCCTACCTATCCCAAATTGATTCTTACACCTAAACAATCTCTTACACTATCATCACCTATCCACATACTAACCTCCAGCAACAACAACAATTTTAATAGACTAGTATAATGCTATGAAAATTATTTTCTTTAGGTTAAATGTAAATAGCATTTCCATTAAATAGAAATATATTTCATTCATTTATTTAAAAAAAAAATTATTTATTTTCAGCACCTTTGTTTGTCCCACCGAAATCATTGCATTTTCAGATCGTGTTGAAGAATTCCGTAAAATAAATACTGAGGTGATAGCTTGTAGTGTCGATTCACACTTTACGCATTTAGCTTGGATTAATACACCACGTAAAGAAGGTGGCTTAGGAAATGTGAAAATACCATTACTCGCAGACTTGACACACAAGATCAGTAAGGACTATGGTGTATACTTGGATGACTTAGGCCATACGTTACGTGGGCTTTTCATTATTGATCATCGTGGTGTTTTGCGACAAATAACAATGAATGATTTACCTGTGGGACGTTCAGTAGATGAAACAATACGTTTGGTACAAGCATTCCAATATACAGACACACATGGTGAAGTATGCCCAGCTGGTTGGAAACCTGGCGCTGATACAGTAAGCGAAATTTTTATTCAAATATTTTTTTGTTATTCATATATTAATTATTCTTTTCGTTTTTTTAGATTGTACCAAATCCGAAAGAGAAAACAAAGTATTTTGAGAAGAATAATTAAATTTACAAGTGAACACAGAGTACTTCTATTTTTTAGTAGTTTTTTCAAATTTGAGATTTTTTTAAACATATAATAAACCATGACTTATATAAAATAACAAATTTTTTTTTTGGATTACTTATTACGTTTAGTTGAGCTACTACTGGCAGCTGTATCTGCGCCTCTTTTACGTTTATTAAGCGGATTTCGTGGATCGTATGCATCATACCAATCATCATTCTTTGTCGATGCATCTTTAGCCAACACAGGTATAGCTGCTTCTTCAGATGTTAACTTGTGTCCCAACCAATCATTACCTTCTATTTCTGTTGCTACTGGCACATCATCTTTTACGTCAGGAGCCTGTTCCTCCTCTTCCTGCTGGTTATGTCTTTTGTTTACTAATTTGTTTTGAAATTGTTTGAACAAACTTAACGTAAAATCTTCCCTGAAACGAAAATGAACAATAATTTTTATCGAAGATAGAACGAATTGGGGCAATTCTGGCAAAGACGGGTAAAAAAGTCTTTCGATGTTTAAAAGATAGAATGAAAGACGGTTTGAAACATTTTTTCTATTCTGGCACAAGTCTTTTAAAAAAAGTTTTATCATTTGTAATTCGTTGTAAATAATCTGTTTTGTGCTATTGCTTTAGTAGAGAAATCAAAAACAGCTGTCAATCGGTATCGCATCCAACTAGAAAATAAATTTGAATACAAAAGTGATGAAGAGCCGCAAGCTTTATGTTTCATTATTATTTATACATAAATAAACTATATATATTCTATAACTAATTAATTTTCTTTTTGTTGTGCTACTGCTGCACTCAATGTAGCAATAGCTGTGGCCATTTCTTTTATCACGTCAGACAAATTTGAGAAAGCTTCAACAATTCGCTCATCCATGCGTTGACGCTGCACCATAGATTCATGTAAAAGATTTCTCAATCCTATATTTGAATTCTTCAGTTTTCGTTTTCGTTTTACAACAGGCGACGATAAAGGAACCGGCGATATCACTTTTTCCAAATTCTCTGATTTTGACTGCGGCATTGTATTATTGTTTGGTGTTGTTTGCAGCATTGTGTTGTTTGACTGCGTAACTATATCAATTGTAGCGTCTTGCTGTGTCTGTATTGTTGGAAGCAAACTATTTTGGTCCTGCATAAAAAGGGATAATGATACATTTCAATCATTTCAACTAAAAGAATGTCAATCATATACTTCAAAACCCAAAGTAGCAACTTTCTCACGCCCAGGTACACCTGCTACACCGAACACTGCCACTGCTCTTTCTTCCAGGTCACTCAAAGTGCCTGCGGTTGGTTGTCCTTCAACACTCGCTTCTTTTTGAAATGCTAGACGGCGTGCACGGGAGCGTACCATATTTTTCCAGTGGGTTAGCGTCTGAAAATTTAGTAAGCATTATCTACTTACAACGAACGTTTTATTTTGAAAATATCGAAATACTTACTTCCCTCCATTGCGTAGCTGTTTTAGTGGGGCCTCTCATTGCATTCAAGAGGTCAGCCAGTTCATCCCACAGCGCTTGAATGCCTTTCGGTGAACGCGAATTATTTCGCCCAATAGGTATATGTGGATTGGCTTCACAGAACTCTACAAAACACTTAAGCTGTGCTGGTGTACTTCGCCCTGATATTTTTTTTCTAAAAGAAATAATAATTTTTTAGTTTCAAAACTAATTGTATATGTATAATTACACGATAATTACACTTACACCTTACGGTTTTCCATCACTTCTAAATTCAAATAAATTGTTAACTTAAAATTCACTTTAAAATAGTAATATTTACACTTTTATCTTAAGGTTTACTAACAATTTTAAATTCAAATTAAATTGTTCAGTTAGTTGCGGTAGCGATTAACAGCTGTTTCTGATTTCCCCACGAAAGCAATACCACAAAACAGCTTTTTACCACGAATTACAAATACAACTTTTTTTGAAAGACCTTAGGTCCAGAATAGCAAAAATCTTTCAAAATGTCTTTCGTTCTATATATCAAACATCATTGGAAAGACTATTAACTCTATGCCAGAATGCCTTATAATATTTTAAGCAATATTTAGGAATATATAAGAAATTATATCTTATGTGATGTGTTATGAAGTGACGGAACATTATTAAAAAAAAATTAAATAAACAATGCTTTGTGAATCCTTCATTACCCTAACTTCTTCTGTGTTTAACATACCTACTCGTTCCCTTTTTGGGAACATTTGACTTCATTACTTTATATTTTTGCTTGGTGTCTATAAAGTTTTTAATGTATTGGTTGTCTTGTGGAAGTTTTACAGGTTTTTCAGTTTTCTGCTTCTCAATTTTGGCTGTCAAAATTTCATCTTTCTGTTTTTTTTCCGTTTGATACTCTTTTTTTAAGTCTTGAATTTTTTGACGGATCTCCGCTCTATTTTCAAAAAAAATTTATTATTAAATAAGCTGAATGCATTTGTCATTTTAATCTTACTTTCTGCTGTTAGCTTCTCTTCTCTTTTCCTCTTCATGTGTTAAGAGTACATCATCTTCTGAATCGGTATCTTCTATTTTTATTTTAGGATGATCTTCTCTCTTTATAGTTCTTGTCGATTTAGAAGATAATTTGTTTTTAATACGTTGCATATATTCTTCTTGTAATTCCTTTTCTTCTTTAATAACCACTGCGTTATCTCCATCCAACTCGACATCAGAGAGATGTTCAATTTTAATAACTTGTTTACTTAACTTTGGATCATCAACGATGTCGTGCATAGATTTTGCTTTCCCTGCATTTTTCTGTACAAAAACATTGGTTTCTTCTTCATCTTCCTCAGCTTCTTCACCGAAAGAGAGTAAACCGAAATTTCTAAATATATAAATTAGTCTTAGTAAAACTTTCAAATACAGAAGTACATAAATTTCTATATTTCATATACATAAATAAATTATAAAAACTAATTTGCACCTACTTACTTCACACCTTTTTCACGCTTCTTTGTTTTATCTTTTTTAACATCTTTCTGAACAATACGTGCTACAATATCATCAAAAGGATTACTTAATATTTCAGTACGTATAATTTTTTGTGGATACATAGGTCGCTCATTGTGATCAATTAAACCATCTTCTAGTTTCAACATATTAAATACTGTATCACCCGTTACTTTGCCGAAAAGCGTATTTTTATTTTGCAGTTCTGGTGTTGGCGCCATTGTGAAGAAAAACTGTGAACCATTATCATCTTTATCAGAATTGGCCATACCAACTAACCCACGTCTAGCATAGCGCAAACGTGTATGAAATTCATCTTTGAACGGTTCACCATAGATTGACTCACCACCCGTACCATCGCCATTTGGATCACCACCTTGTACAATAAAATCTTTAACAACACGATGAAAAATAGTACCATTATAATATCCTTCCATGCATAACTGTATGAAATTTCGGCAGGCTTTTGGGCACTCTTTGGACCATAATTCAATGTCAATGTCGCCAACAGTAGTTTTCAGTAAAACCTTTAAAAGTAGTTATTACAAATATGAGTGGGTACAAGTATAAAAAAAATCTACTAACTTTTCCAGAAGTTGGAGGTTCTTGTATATATATATTACTCATTTTATATAAAAATGCATTAATATAAATTATCACTAGTAAACAAAAAATTTTTTTTGCGGCGAATGTCAAAATTTACGTGAGGAAGGGTTGCATTTTGCAGAACATATGTATGTTTATGTCAAACCAAAGAAGATTTTCTTCTTTCAAACTTTTGGTATTTTTTTTTTTAAAGCCTAACAATAAGTTTTAGAATTCTATAAACTTATAACATTACATTACAAATAATTTTATATATACACACTACAATGAAATATAAAAATTATTCGTAAATTATTTTAAGGGGCCTCTATAACGGTAGCCAAGCTTATTCACCAGATATCACGGCGCGTAATTTGAATTGAAAGCAGGATGGTAGGTTTATCATTCTGTTTCAGTGTAGAGGAATTTATTATATTAGCAAGAGGTTTAGCCAGCGGATTCACAAAATATTAGAGATAATGTATTTAATATTGTTATACTCTCTTTACATTTTATGCACGTCTGTCAATCGTTATTTTTATGATCTTTGAACTAATATGTTAATTTCTCAGGTTAATAATATTATGTACAAATCTTAGATTTGTTTAGATCTTAGATCTTTGTTTAATTTATAATCCCAATTTATAGCATTCAGTAATACATTTATGCTTAGTTTCTTAAGAGCCTTTTTGAATTGAGATGAAAACCTATGGTTTTTATTTTTGAATAATTTTACATAGTTTATTTCCATATAAAAATAAAAATGTTGCAGTAGTTTATTAAGCAGCTAACATATTTATTTATATTTGAAAGCGCAATAGGGACCATTAATAATATATAAAGATAATTAATATTGAATACTTTTGTATAAAGATTACTCATGATAGATATTTGATTATCGTGATTATGTGTGAACATAATTAACCTTGTACATTAGTATGTGTTTATATAATATTGTTATTAAATTAATACTTAAACATCCTCATTGTATTTACTATAGCTTTAAAATCTTGCTGTTTTCAAAAAAAGAAGCTATCAAAAAAAGAAACGAACAGTTAATACCAATGATAGGAGATCTGAATGACGGGTCCTTTAAAAAATTTATATCGACTAATCTTACAATTCACATGTGGTTTCTACTTAATCAGTTTGAAAGAATATAAGGCCCAAGTTTTATAATAACAGTAACAATTTGTCAGAGTAAATAAAAATATAGTTATAAGTACAGATGTTTTATGGTGAATATATCACGGTTTATTCTTGCGAAAAATAAAAAAAAAATCTGAAAAATTATTACGCTACTAAAAACAACGATATATGAAATTTATATACACAACTTGACTTAAGAATACTTAATGTAGAAACTAATTCTATGAACTTAAAATTATTTGTACCACAGCCAGCTTTTAAAATGATGTATCATTAAATTGAGGCATCTATTAGATCTACACTTTACCATTAAATGATAATATAAACGTAATATTATTGGAAAATATTATTGACCTCATATTAATGAATAATGGCAATATAAAGTGAGATTTGACTAACACAAAATCGCTAAAATAAATTTTTAAAAAAATTCTTCGATGTAATCATATATACTATGCGCTTAGAATGAGCTATATTCAAGATGCACTTTAGGAGCAGATAGCTATTAATTCAGTCGATAGATCTGTGGATTACAAAAGTCAATAGTTTTTGTATCTTACACAATAGTTTCCAATATTACAGCAGTAATAATAAATCTTAGTCCAGTGTTTAATGAGAAATATTTTTGTTGAGCTTATCACAATTGAAGATTTCTTCATTCAAAACTAAGAACATCCAAAATAGTGTTTTTATAAAGATGTGATGTTTTAGGCAAATAGATTCATACTTTTGAATGTTTCGGGGTTGGGAAAGCAATTTTATGAAATTAAGCGTTTCCCTAGATGGAGACAAATAAAATTTTACTCGACAAACATTTCTTAATATATATCAAATTACACTTTAACATTAACCTAATTATATTTATGGGTGCAATGGGTGTAGATTTGTCTAATTTCTGAAACCAACCATAATATCGTTAAAAATATGCTAAAATCAACACAAATTTTACGGGTACTCACACCGAAGTTGGTATTAGGGATATATTTTATATATAATTGTTTTTTGTAAAGGAATTTTGTGAAATTAAATAATAAAAATTTGCAATAAACCGAGTTCAGTATAAATGCTTGTATATTTTTTAAGACCATCCAGAGTTCTCAATTCACATTGCACAAAATTTCGACTAGAAAATAATAATATCAAAATTTGAGATAGAGTTGGTTTTTATTCTAACATTTGAAAGATTAGATATACTTTTAAATTTATGTAAAATAAATAAATTAAATAAAGCAAAATATAGAAGTTTAGCTGTAAATTGCTCTCAACACTTTTTTTAAAAATTTCTAAATCAAAGCTAAAGTCAAGAAGTCTTTTGCTAAGTGAAATGATCGATTTCTTCACTGTTAAGAATTGTATTGCATTTGGATAAGGGGTTCAAAATTCATAAATATACACAAATATGTGACAAGAATTTATTAGTAAATAAATTTACTGTTGGTTAATAGTGAACAGACTTGGAAGAATTTTATCACTGGACATATGTACATATATATAATATTGGATCATTGGATTTATATAATTTCCATCGTGCATCTAGTTTTTTTCGATCAAAATGCGCCAGTTATTGATAATTCCATATTTCCTTCTTAAATCTAAAATAATTTATATTTAGTAATCTTAAATATATCAAGTGCTCACTACTATTACGATCTGCATGAACTATATAAAGACTTAAGCATACAAAGTGGCTGAATTGAAGGAATAAAAATATAACGAAATTTTCTTAGATTGTTTTATAACATGTACTACTTATTCACTTATTATAACATGTACTTATCTACTTATTCATTTATAAATGAGTGCTAATAGCATAATGAACGAAAATAACCTATAATTACACCAATAGATTTATTATCCTGGAATTTTAAACTTTCCAAAGTGTTTTACATATTATAGCTAAAAGCATAATCAGACTTGTTTTCCCTGAATCCTAGGTTTCAATATTTATTTTAACTAAAATAACTGTTCACATTTACTTTCTGCTTGTTCATTCTGTTTGGTGTAATATGAGACCCCATGCCACAGTGTAATAGTAACACTTTTAAACCAATATGATGATAAGTATAAGTATAGGTGTTTTGTATAATGAATGCATTATTTATTTTTGTGTTAAATATAAAACTTAGAATACAAAACAGAAAAATTACCATATTATTTAAAACATACAAAACAGAAAAATTACTATATTATTAAAAACAAGGATATGTCAAACTAGTATATGGATTGATTATATGGAAATCAAAAGCAAGAATTATTTAATTTTGTGAATTTAAAATTGATTCCAGCAGAGTCAATTTTTTCTGTTCTAGTGTTGTTTCATTCTTCCACTTTTTTTTAAGAAGAGCTTTAAAATCTGATAGTGCTTGTTCTCTTTGTTTCGCTTTATGTTCAATTGCCAGCTTTTTTAATTTAAGCTTTTCATCAAAATAACGACCTCGAGCTGTAAGTTTTCCAGTCTTTGCTTGAGCCGCGCTTGGAGATGTTAATAGTAATGGAAATGATATTTGCACTCCAGAGGATGACGATGGTAATGGCCAGTCTACTGCAGATGATGGTGACAGCGGTGGAGATTGTGTTGCTTCTGATAAATTTGTTGGTAAATTCGAACTACAGCTTTCCTCTGGCATTTCAACATGATCAAAACCAGTTTGCATTGTGGGAGAGTCCGCAAAAATTTTATTCATTATCTTCATATATGGAAAAGTATGTGATCCCGTCAAACCATTATTGTCTAGTGATGTTTTATAAGCATGTATTAAATAACGCATTTTATTCTCTAAACATATAGGTGTTCTTCCTTTGTCCTAAAATAATAAATGAATAAACCATGAACCATAATTGAATTCTTTAAAGTTACCGGAATATTTTGGGATAACATGTCTTTCAATGTATTAGAATAAGCTACTCGCTTTTTTCTCAAATGCACGAATTCATTTTTTCTTTTAAGATAGCACTCTAAAAATACAACAGTTTCTGAATGTGTCCACGGTGTCCGCTTTTTTGTGTTAGAACTGCAAAAGAGAAAAATAAATTATATGAATTTAAAAATAATATCACGTTAAAATCACGTTAAGAAAAGCATTAAATCCATCAATATCATGAAATTATTTAACACCATTTAAAAAAGTTAATAAGTTAACAAGTTAAACCCTTATTACTTAAGAATATTAAAATACAGTGGGGTTTAATTCGCTCCTAATTGCTAAGGAGACACATAATGCGTATAGAATGACTTATGTTCTAAATAAAGTTTCCTATTTAATTTAATAGATCAATATTTTCCATTATAATGATTCCAATGATTCCAATAATGATAATTCTTAAACATAAACGTAATTCAACTTAACATCAAACACTGCAAGGCAGCCGATAATATGACTTTTTATTGTGGTCGATTTAAAGACAAACGAAAGATGGTCAAGTACTCCTGCAATCAGGATATATGAATGCTATTAGTAAACCTATCATTATCCTATAATTCAAAACTCCATACAGCTTTTGGTTTAAAAAAGCCAGAATGGCATGTTGAATCTGTGACAATTACAGAACACACTTAGATACGATAAGCGAATATTTTACTCTGCATTTCAATGAATCTGGAAGTGCCAACATTTTCTAACACATTTTTGCAAACTTGGATCAACGTAAAACGGCTTATAAAACTATTCTCCATTGAAGTGTTGACTGTTTCAACATGAATCTATTAAATATAACAAAATTTCGCACCAATAAGAAAGATAGTTGTAAGTACAGGTGTTTTATATATTGAATGCATTTTTATTTTTCGGTTAAATATAAAACATAGAATACAAAAACAAAAAATTACTATATTATTAAAAACAAGTATATGTCAAACTAGTATATGGATTAATTATATGGAAACCAAAAGCAAGAATTATTTAATTTTGTGAATTTAAAATTGATTCCAGCAGAGTCAGCTTTTTCTGTTCTAGTGTTGTTTCATTCTCCCACTTTTTTTTAAGAAGAGCTTTTAAATCCGATAGTGCTTGTTCTCTTTGTTTCGCTTTTTGCTCAACTGCCAGTTTTTTTATTTTTAGCTTTTCATCAAAATAACGACCTCGAGCTGTACGTCTTCGAGTCTTTGCTTGAGCCGAACTTGGAGATGTTGATAGTGATGTTAATGATATTTGCACTCCAGAGGATGACGATGGTAATGGCCAGTCTACAGCAGATGATGGTGACAGCGGTGGAGATTGTGTTGCTTCTGATAAATTTAATGGTGAACTAGGACTAAAACTTTCTTCTGGTATTTCAACATGACCAAAACCAATTTGCATTGTGTGAGGTTTGTGTATTGTGGAAGAATCCGCAAAAATTTTATTCATTATCTCCATATATGAAAAATTATATGATCCCGTCTTTCTATTATTGTCTAGTGCTGTTTTATAAGCATGTAATAAAGTACGCATTTTATTTTCCAAACATATAGGTGTTCTTTCTTTGTCCTAAAATAATAAATGTATAAACCATGAACCGTAATTAAATTCTTTAAAGTTACCGTGATATTTTGGGATAACATGTCTTTCAATATATTGGAATAAGCTACTCGCTTTTTTCTCGAATGTTCGAATTCATTTTTTCTTTTAAGATAGCACTCTAAAAATGCGGCAGTTTCTGAATGTGTCCACTGTTTCCGTTTTTTTATGTTAGAACTGTAAAAGAGAAAAATAAATTATTTGAATTTAAAAATAATATATAATTACGTTAAGAAAAACATTGAATCCATCAATATCTTGAAATTATTTAACACCATTTATACAAGTTAATAAAGGTAATGATTTAGGAAAATCTTATTGACCCCATATTACTTAAGAATATCAATCAACATGTAGTGCTATTTATTTCGCTCCAAATTGCTAAGGAGATACATAATGCGTATAGAACGACTTATTTAGAATATAAGTCATAATTAATTTAGAACATAAAATTTCATAATTCATTTAATAGATTAATATTTTCTATTATAATAACTCTAATCATAATTCTTAAAAATAAATGTAATTTAACTTAACATCAACCACTGCAAAGCAGCCGAACACTTTTTTGGCAAAAAGTAATCGCAAACAATGAATATTGTTCTATTATTGGAATCATGTATGGAAATTAACTGACATAATGACGGGTGACAGACTCAAAGAAGCAAATATCAATTTGTATAATGACTGACAAAACACCCCATAGCGAATCGTCAACACTTGACAGAAGCTACGGCAGAAGGATTGCTCACTGGAAGGCTACCATTGAACATACGTGTAATAGGCCTGAGCAGCATATTTAACAGGCAAGGTATGACACCGATGATAGAATAAAATTTTACAACCTTCACTTAAAAAATGGAAGCAAACGTAGAAATAGTCGTCCAACAGACGTTGGAAGTGTGGATAACAAGAAAACATGCTGACTTGGACTATCATCCGACTTAGATACACGGATGCTATAGATACTTCCAGATATAATTTCACAGTTTTTAGTTAGCAATTAATCCCTATGGTTCGAGCGCTTTAAACATTGGTGAAAGTATAGAAAATGTGGCTTTTTACCTATCATTATTCTGTAATTCAAAAGTCCATACTGCATTTGGTTTGAAAAAGTGGGATTGGCGTACTAAATCTATGACAATTTCAAAACACAATTAGATATGATAAGCGAATGTTTTACTCTGCATTTCAACGTACCTGGAAGTGCCAAAATTTTTAAACCCTCTTTGCAAACTTGGATCAATATAAATAGACTTGTAAAAGTATTCTCCGTTGAAGTGTTGACTGTTTTATATATAATTCTCATCGTGAATATAATAAATATAACAATATTTTGCACCAACAATATAAGAAAGATAGTTGTATGTATAGGAGTTTTATATAATGTATGCACCGTTTATTCTTGTGTAAAATATGTAACAGAATAGACAAAACATAAAAACTATTACATTACTAAAAACAACGATATATAAAACTAGTATACAGCTTGACTTAAAAACTGTTAAAGCCGAATTTAAAAATAATTAATTTTGTGAATTTAAAATTGATTCTAGCAGAGTCAACTTCTTCTGTTCTAGCTTAATTTCATTTTCCCATTTTGTTTTAAGAAGAGCTTTCAAATCTGACAGTGCTTGATCTCTTTGTTTCGTTTTTTGCTCAACTGCCAATTTTTTTATTTTAAGCTTTTCATCAAAATAACGACTTCGAGCTGTACTTTTTTGAATCTTTGCTTGAGTCGAGCTTAGAGATGTTGATAATGATGATGGTAATGATATTTGCACTCCAGACGATGACGATAGTATTGACGAATCAGCGGCATATGACGGTGATTGCGGAGGAGATTGTGGTGGAGATTGTGTTGTTTCTGATAAATTCGATGGCGAACTAGGGCCAAAACTTTCCTCTGGTATATCAACATGATCAAAACCCATATGCATTGTGTGCTGGTTCTGTATTATAGGAGAATCCCCAAAAATTTTCTCCAACAATTCCATAAATGGTAAAATATTTGAACCCGCCATTTTATTATCTATTGCTGATCTATACGCGCGCAATAAAGTACGCAATTTTCCCCTTAGGCATTTAGGTGATCTTCCTTTATTCTAAAATAACAAATGAATAAGGTTTGATTTGTGATTAAATTCTTTTAAGTTACCGAAACATTTTGGGATAACATGTCTTTCAAAACATTGGAATAAGCTATATGCCTTTTTCTTGAATGTAAGAACTCATTTTTCCTTTCAAGGTAGCATCGTAAAAATACAATAGTTTCTGAATGGGTCCATTTTTTTCGCCTTCTTATATTACAACTGTAAAAGAGAAAAATAAATTTATTTAAATTTAAAATGATGTATCATTACATTGAGGAATAGTTTGGATCCATTCAATACCATGAAATGACTCAACACCATTAACGAATAAAATACATATAAATAGTATTTTGGGAAGGTTCCGAAATGCGCAAAGCAACTCCACGTATTCAAGCGTATCTTTAGTTTAGAGTGTCAAAATAAAATTTTATATGACAAATATATCGTTGAATATAATATGTACCTATATGAAATTATTCTTTAACATTCTCTAAATTCCAATTAAGTGCACTGAAAGTAGACTTGTCCAGTTTCTGAAAACATCAGTAATGTCGTTTAATCAGATCCAAAAGCTGGAGTTATCGCTTACCAAAACCATCTTAATGACTTCGTAACATAATTACTATGACGTTAGAACCGGGGTTTGTTATATCGCACTAATTTCAGAAGCGTAACTTAAATTTAACAAAAACAAATCTTGGTGGATGTTTAAAGTCAGATTGTAATTGGAAGCAGAAAACTTGAAAAAGATTATCTCCATACGGAGATAACCAATACCATTAAATCACAATAGAAACATTTATATTATAATCTATGATATAATATTCCCTCATATCCTTTGAATAATTGATAGATATATGAAAAGAATTCTTAAAATGATATAACTGCTATTATACATTAATTATCATATGACTTCTTCGGTTGATAATTTGTTACTCATACATTTAAATGTTTATTGAAAGATAGGTATTACTGCTATAGATCAATAAAAGTTTCCAAATAAATGTCCACACATTATTATAAGATATTGTTTGGTAATATACATACTAACAAAATATTTATTTCCTTTTAAAAAACAAATATAATACATATGTAATAATTATTTCTATATAAATAAATACTATATAAATCACTTCATATTTCATTGTCCACATGAAATGAATCCATTTTTTGTTTCTTTGCTTTAAGTTTGAGCTTAAGCATTCGATATTTATGTTTCTTTTTGGCATTTTCCTCGTAGACTCTTAGCTTTTCTCTTTTGAGAGCAAGCTTTTCTTTGCGATACTGTTCTTCATTTTTAAAAGTTGAAATTAAAATACTCTCAATATTTTGAACACTACGATATATTTTATTATAATAGTTGTCTTGCTCAAGCTCTAATGACTGTTTTTCAACTCTATTTATTTTAGAGCAGTTTGAGATTTTCTCTTTTTTCGAAGTTAGTTTGGTTACACAGTCAAGAGGTTGGACTATTGCTTGATGATCTATTTTATTGCTTGATGAAACGCATTTTGGTTCATTTTTCTTTAAATGGGCCAATTTCATAGATGGCGGATTATGTTCTCCACTCGGAGTATTAATTTCACATTTGAGACTTAAAATGTGGTTGATAGCGTCCTCAGTTACAGTTAGCACATGAAGTTTTTTTGGGTTACGTTTATTTGATAACGAATTCGCGCGATACTTTATCAGTTTCTTTTTTGTCTTTGCTTTAAGATCAATCCAAACCTGTAATAAAAATATGTATATTTTATAAACTGCCCTGGTTAAATTCAACACATGTTGAAATATCACATATACTTTAAGTACATTACAGACAACAAAAAAGATAAAGGATTGATAGTTTCTTTACAAATGAAACAGTTTAATGGTATATTATTTAAATTTCAATGCTTACCTTGACCCACTTATCCCAAGTTTTTATTGGAGGTCCTAAGCTATTTAGTTCGTTTGTTATAATTTGCCACGTATATTTTACCATATCACTTTTACAGCTTCCCTGTGCAATCGCAGGATATTTTTTCATGTTGGAAACTAACGCCATTATTTGCTTTTTATTGCTGATCATTTTGGCCCTATAATATATTTTGTTATTTTGTTAATTTAATATATTTATTAACACATTTATTAAATTTTTTTAAATCATATATATACTTTACTTACGGAAACACTACCTTAACCAGTCTGTGAAACAAGAACAACAATCTTTCACTCGCGATTCACAATACCCAACAATATCGAATTTGTATAGCCCAAAATATGCGATCAATAGATATATCTCTTATTAATCATCAAACAATAACAATAGAAACGGATATAATTCACAATTAAAATATTTATAAACATATATAAATATTTTTACTATATTGTAAAAGCAATCCGATTAAAGAGATTTTATGATGTTTACACGGCAAGCAAAGCCGTTCAATTTTACTATATTCACCATAGATCTTCTTTTTAGGAGTTGAAAAAAAACAGCAATTAATCTAATGCACACTTAATCAAATATCAGCTATTATAGTCAGTGATTGCTATAGAATAATGAGTTGCGATTAAGTTCCAATCGTTGATCACTAGAAGTGTTTAAAATGTGGTTCAACAAATAGATTGTAATAGTGCTGTGCATGATTGATCGACAGCCTGGCTACTACGTTCAATATCCATGGACTATAGTGAAAGTCATCAGCTATTGTAACCAACGACTGACTATAGCTTAATGGTGCTCTGGGCATATATTTTATAAAAATAATTGCGATCTTTATTAATATAAACAGAATAGTTATTATATTTAAACTTAACAATTAAGTCATTTATGATGAAAGAAAATCATTTTACTAATAAAAGAATTTTTGATTAGTTGTGAATTCCAATAACAAAATTTTATTTGTTAATTAATTGAATTTTTTGACTTGAAAGACTGTTTAGAATATTGCCAAATACTTATCATCAGTAGTCATTTACTGAAATATTTATGGGCTTTATACATCCGTATATAATTGTTGGACTACAGGTACTAGAAATAGAACTTAAGTAGAGTTATACTTAAGTTCAGGAAAATAGTAATCCCAAATAATATTCTAAATCTATTTACAGTAAGATTAACAATTATAATATACACTAATTCAATATGAAGGTTGATAGGTTCTTATAGACAAGTAGCAAATCTGTTTGGCATCTCCATCGGTAAGCTATTAAAAAGAAATATAAGTAATTATAGGTGCAATAGATTGGATTCATAATACAATCAAAGCTCCAAATAATCATAAGAAAACTTATAAGAACCGCATATATTTAATATTGCTAGTTCCTTACATGCTATCAGATTTTAAATATGTTCTTACATTTTGGTGTACAACTATATTATCATTGTCCTTAAAGTCACCTTTTAATATATACAGCTCAAAATAAATTTAATAAATAACTTTAATCTAAACAAAAATTGGCAAAACTTACCGAATAAACAACTTATAGTATCTATAGCAACAAATAGAGTAGTCATAAATAAATGCAGTTTAACACAAACTAGGTCAACGTTTTTTATCAACAGGGGCTTAGAGACGAAAGACTAAGATGAGTCTCTGATTAAAACAGAATATTTTACAAACTTAAAAATGAAAAATATTATTTAGTATTATTTGCACATTTAATTTATTCAGTAATTATAGATTTAATAAATATAATTTTGGATTATATTTATTTTATTATTGATATTTTTTAGTATGCATCTGTGTCTTGCTACAGGTGACCTTAAACGATTTTTCTTATATATTTCTGTCTTACCACCGTCGTTTTATATATTAATATAAATATTCGTACTATATATGTATATATTATACGCCTTATTCTGTGTACTTCATAAATTCACTATCTTGCCTATTTATCAAGATTGACTATTTATCAAGGTTTTAGTATTTTGTGCCATAAATAAAAAGCCTTTTTCTTGGTAAATCGTCAAGATAACAAATGCTCTTGACAAATAACACAGCTACTTCACTGTTTGTACGAAATTGTGGAGAAAAGTTTGTTAAAATTTAAAAAATTATGTTAGAAGAAGATATAAATGATGAAAAACATATTGAGAGCGTAACTTGAGACATTTGCAGGGTCTCTCATCAATGATCTGGAATCGCATGGTGACCAAAAAACCTTCACTGCCTTTAACTATAAGAGTTTTAACTCCTTTGGGCACAGTTCCTATCAAAAATGTATAAACAACAACTTCAACTTAGCTATGATCCAGTTGTCCCTTTGTAGAAAATTGCGGACTATGGCAAGGCTAATTGTAAAAGTGAAAGGAGGAAAAATAATGTTTCCCAGTTCAATTGAGGAAGAAAATTTTGTTTAAACCGGCTATGTATATTTTTTAGAAATTCGGCATAAAATGCACAATATGAAGCCATGAACACCTGATTCCAGAATTTTGGCAACTTTTAACCTACGGGAGCATTTCATTCACCAGTATACAAAAACAATCCTGGCTTGTCGGCAATCAAGGGTACCCTCTGAAGCCAAGCTTTTAACACCAGTTGGAGCTCCAAATATCTCCATACCTCCAAACAGAACCATATGTTACATGGTTCTGCCCTAAATTTTATAGAAGGGGTGTTTGGTGTTTTAAAGTCTCGCTTCAGATGTTTGCTAAGATACAGAATTTGATATTATTCGTATGAAACTGCAGTTTTCTTTACTAACACATGTATTACGTTTAATTGAGAAGATTGAGAACGATATTGCAGAAGAGTTGGATTATGCATTTCATGCTATTGATTCTTCACAGTAAATTCGCAAAAGAATTTACAGGTTAAAGAACAGGTTGAGTATATATTTCAACCCTTTAATTAATGATTTTCTGTTTATTTCTTAAAGTATTGTAAAAATATAACAAAACTCTGGAGTAAAACTAGATTGATCAAATAAAATTGTAATTTATTGTAATTTATCTTAAATAAATAAAAATACATACTATGTAGTCCATACACTAATTATTTGAGTTTTTCTTTAAAACATTGACGAGTTCAGTCACAATGTCGGTCAGTCCTTGTATGGCCTGCATCACTTCACGGTGCTCCTGACGCTGTTGCTCTTCACGTTGTTGCCTTTCTTCGTCAGCAGCATTCCTCATCTCTATGCTAGCAATAAGAGCATTAATCATCTTATTGCGCTCATCTTGTGATAACCGTGAAATGCTAGCAGCTGAATTCGTATCATTCTTAAAAAATGTCATTAATTACAAAATTGATAAATGTATATATAGATAATATAATAGATAAATTATAATAGAGAACTTACTTGATTTTCCGCGGTAACAAGCGATGAAACATGGCTTGGCGATGATACATAGCTTGGCGATGGTACAGAGCTGCACGATGGCTGAGAACTCGGCAATGTACAATCAGAAGGTGATATTGGACAGTCATGTGGTAACGATTGTACAGCTTGTTCTTGGGACATCATTTGCCCAAGGTTATCAATCGTTTTCACACTATCAACTGCTCCCATACCCAATATGTTTAAAGCCTTCTCCTCGAAATCGCTCAACGGCTTGCCACTCGGCCAACCTTCAGTAAGCTTCTGATTCATTTTCGAGAGCCTTCCTCGCTTACGCAGTTGGCTCTTCCACACACCCAACGTCTACAAACAATAACATGTTAACAAATATAGAAAATGTTATAAATATGAAGCAAATTACCTCTTTCCATTTAGCCACTGGACGAGTTGGGCCTCTGCGTGCATTTAATTCATCTGCCAGCTGCTTCCACAAATCTGGCATTTGAGACTTTGAAGTGTTTTTAACTGCGCAAAATTCAGGATGAGCCTGGCAAAACGATATATATGCTTCCAATTGTACATGCGTGGCACGATCGTATTTTTTTTTTCTGTAAATGGAAATTTATATTAAATTGAATAAAATATTAAATACTTACGTTATAAAAGAATCCATTTTTATTGTAAAGAGGTAATTTTTGTTTACATAACATTTCACCACAATGTGGTGAATAACGCTTGACACTTAAGCTTTGTAATTTGTTAATATTTGCACAGTATAGCAAAAAGCTTTTTGCTTGATAAAAATCTTGATTAATTATCAATACTTGATAAATTTGTCAAGTTCACAGAATAGGGGTCATTACATTGAAAGTTTTCAACATTTTTTTGACATCGATTTTTCTTCACCGCCACAAATTTTGGTTGATACTAAAAAACTATTCCCTAAAAAAATTTTTTTACGTGTCTTCGATCGAGCAATCATATCCCACAAATATGCCGAAAGAATAGGAAAGACTCTATGTATTTATTATCAATATTTTATTCTCAAATGATTTCAAAAAATTTTAATTTGACGTAATTTGAGAAATTCACAGAGCATTTTTGTGTTGTGGCGACAGTCTATGTTCACGCAAAATAAAAATATTGTAGCCTATGTTCGCTTGCCATATATAGAGACTAACTCTCATATTCTGGGAACTTGATAAACTTATCAAGTACTATATTAAGACTTTTATCAAGCAAAAAGTTTCTTTTGCTATTCTGTGCAAATATTGATAAATTTTAAAGCGCAAGTGCCTAAAGCTTTTCTTCATACTGTGCTGTTAATTTTATGTATACAAAAATCAGTAATGCGTGGATTATTTAATACATTGTGACCGAAAAGCTTTCGGAAATTCTCATTTAAAATTCGCGCGCTGTATATTTTCCGATATTTTAAGTTTATGTAGTTTGGCAGCACTGTCCTTAATTACTATGCCAAAAATGAGCGCGATCTGTCAGACAGTTCGTTTACGGCAGCTGTTGAAACCAGTTCACCTCAGTAGGGCGTTGCGAAAAAAACAATGGAAAAAAATATTGAACAAAGAGTTTGCATCAAATTTTGTGTTTCGAACGAAATTTCGTGTGCAGAATCGTTGCGAATGCTACAAAAGGCTTATGGGGAATCAGTTTTATCGAAAACTCAAGTTTATGAGTGGTACAAAGCCTTCCAGGACGGTCGTACGACCGTCGAAGACATTTCGCAACGCACTACTGAGGTGAACTGGTTTCAACAGCTGCCGTAAACGAACTGTCTGACAGATCGAGCTCATTTTTGGCATAGTAATTAAGGACAGTGCTGCCAAACTACATAAACTTAAAATATCGAAAAATATACAGCGCGCGAATTTTAAATGAGAATTTCCGAAAACTTTTCAGTCTTAATGTATAATATTATATCATGACTTGTTATTTTTATCTTTTTTTTTAATTCGTTATTTGCTATTTAGAATTTTATTATGCACATAAAAAACTCAACACTATTGGTATATTTTTATTAATTATTATTATTTTTATTCAAAATTTATTCAATTTATTGCACTTACTATTACTATATTTTTACAATATTGAAATAAATAATTATAAATTCAATAATTATGCAATTTAGAATTTTATTATGCATATAGATAACAATTTCGTACAAACAGAAAAAAACAGCTCTATTTTGACAATTTATCAAGAAAAGAGCTCTTTATTTATGGCACAGAATACCAGAACCTTGATAAATAGTCAACCTTGATTAAAAAAGTAAGTTGGGGAATTTAACAAGTACACAGAATAGGTCAAGAGTTTTAAATAAAAATTCAATTATAACAATATTGTATGTTGGTAACCTCTTTACATTGAATTTCAATTAAAATGTCTTAACTTATGTCCTCGTTATTTATATAAAAATAGTATATATATCATGCATATCGAATAAATAGTTTAAAATATAGGTTTAAAAAAATTTATATCTTATAGCTTTTGTTTGCTAGCTTTATATAGAGATTACGTTTAATACATATCATGTAGACTAATTGAATGCTTTAGGAGAATATTCGAATTATGGCATAAAGATTCCATAAAAATGACTACTAAAATGAGAATTTCAGTATTTCAATTTATTTTTATTTTATAAATTTCTATAATTTATTTTTACTATATATGTATAAGTGTGGTATCATTACTACATAAATAACTAGAATGAGGAAAAGAGAGCAAAAGTCATAATTTTTAATTAACGTTGTTTAAAACCATTTCAAGTAGTTTCAAAATTCTGTCTTCCCTTTTAGCAACGTTCTTCCATTTCAATTTTAATAGTTCCTACAGGCTGTTAAAAGCTTATTTCCTTCTTTTGTTCTTAATTTTTATTGAATTTCCTTCAAGGCAATATTTTTTCATATCAGTTTTTCGCAACGAGTTTAAGTATACTAAATTTATGCCCCTGACGATCCTCCAGGCGAGTATCGGTGCTGATACGATTCTTAGATTATCGATGCTGCTGTTGATAACAAGAATTTTTTGTTGAAGAAAGCCCCGAATATAATTACTTTGTGAGATTACAAAATTATAGATCTTATGAGTATAATGCTCGGGTATTAATTTTCACCAAGGTAACAAGGTAGACTAAAGAAGTTTCTACCACAAGAAATGGACCAAAAAAAACAGCGATAACAACAGAAATGATTTGTAAAGTGAAGAAACGAATTGAATTAAACCCACGCCGTAGCTACAATCAAAGGAGCTGAACGTATCGCGAGAAAGGACGCAATACATTTTAAAAAGTGAGCTCATACTAAAGCCACTGAAGTTAAACAAAGTGCATGATCTCACCGATGAAAAACTTTGGAGTCGAAAGAGCCAAAGTGTTGATTCGTTTGCCCTAAGTTACCGAAGTTATTGATTCCTTGTAAATACAACTGTAAATTAAATTTGGTTTTAAAATAAACGTTTTTTCATATCACACCTATTCTGAATCACATGGGAATGGGAGTTTTTTGCCTTTTCTTAGTTCCACTATTCTGAATCATAAGGGAATGGGAGTTTTGTTTCCTTTTCCCAATTTCCTTATTCTGAATTAAGTGGGAATGGGAGTTTTTCCCAAGCAAAGATAAGTTAAAAAGAGTTTAATTTAATATGTTAGTAACTTATAATTAGATTTTTGTATATATTATAATAAAATTGTTATTATAAAAAAATTATTATAATAAACGTAATATTTTTAAATTTTTATTTTTTTTTATTTTATCCACAAATTAAAGCGGTAACTATTGTTATTTATACACATATACCTTCTGCTCAAAAAGTACCCGGATTTTGTTGTTTGTTAACTACTCCTTAAGTAATAGACCGTTTTCAAAAAATTTTTTTTTGTTATGTTGGTACACCCTTTCTTGACATATGGTACAAATTTGAGCGCCATCTGTTAATTAGTTTGTTTACAACAGCTGTTAATGTGAGACTACCTCAAGTGCATTTAGCGATTTTTACTATAGAATATTCTTGTTGTACGTGATTTTTTGACCAAACACGGCATCACTGTCATCGCTCAGGCACCATATTCGCCAGATCTGGCGCCGTGCGACTTTTTGCTGTTCCCGAAACTCAAATTGCCCCTTCGTGGTAAGCGTTTTGAGTCGATTGAATCGGTAAAAGAGAATTCGCCGAAGGAACTATGTTAAAAGCCATACCTGCACGGGCCTACGAAAAGTGTATGGAAGATTGGGTTAAGTGTTGGCATATGTGTATCGCTTCAGAAGGAGCATATTTTGAAGGAGATAAAATAAATTTGGAATAAAATTTAAATTTGTGTGTTTTATTTACAAAATCCGAGTACTTTTTGAACAGAAGGTA